TCACGGCCGACTATATGACTGGTTTAGGTTGATGTCGATGGTATTATACCTGTAAGTGATGCTCTATAACGTGGATCTATGACTTACTTTGTGTCTGTCATAATCAACGGTAAATCGKGTCTCCCCCGTCATCTTCGGATGTTTTATTGTCCCACTATGAGTTATTCAGGTCTTATTGTCTCTATCCTGTTTAAAGTTACGTCAACTATTTTTCATGTAGATTTTTATATATGTTCCTTTATTGATTACGTAAACTCTTTGGTTTGAACTCACTAGGCGTAAGCCTAACCCTCTCTCTTTCTTGTTATATTTACTTTTTAGGTTCCTTTAGAGGTGGGGGTCGAGAGGAGCGTTGGTTCGTGAAAGACTCCTTTGTAAATATTAGCCTTGTTACTTTTGCACGTTGCGTTTTTAATGTTACGATATTTTTGGAGATTGATAGAAACACCTGTCGTTAATCTAGAAAAATCTAGATTAGTAGGTCGTTATTTACCTTATCTGTAACGGAATTGTAAACTCTATACTATTACCTTTTGTTGGGTAAATTTTAAATTCGAGATTTTGGTTCTCGTTAAATATTTTCGGTTTAATTTATCCTCACTTTCTTAGGGTGTTACACTAACCGGGTAAGAGTCGTCACATTCCTTTTCCAAGTAAGACTCTTGGTTGTTGCCACCGCTCTTACTAGATAAGATTTCTGGTATTTATCATGTTAATCTGATAAGATAAGTAATTTAATAAGTACTTATTGAATAAGAATTTAGTAAACGAACCGTTAATTTAGTTTGAAAACATTTTGATGCCTTCCATGTATGTTTAAAAGTTTTGATCTTTCTTCAAATATTATACACAATTTTAATTCAGTAATTGTTTTGAACTTTTTTATTTTTATAGAAAATTAATTAGTTTTTATAAAAAAAAAATTAGAAGCAAATATGAATTTTAGATTCTCATTGCAAATGTTTTTTTTAACTATACTAGTTATGTATTTGTGCAATACGACGGAAGCCGTGAATTTTAACGATTTTGAAGTTTTACTGGTTTTATTAGAGAAGATTTAACGATGATATAAGTTACATACTTGGTCTTTACATATTAATACAATTTGAATAAATAAAAGTTATGGTTCCAATTACAGTTTATCGATGAAAAAAATTGTATGACAGTTTAAAATTCAACATATTTAAATGACTCCACAAATGTGTTCGATTTATACCAAGAGCGAGACCGAGAGTTCTAGAGCAATTGAATGAGAGATGAATGAGATAACTTTTAATAACACATGGTAAATATCAGTTTGAATATCACATTGGGGGATGTGGAGAAGACATAAAAGTATGAGAGGGCAAAGGCATGAGAGGGTAAAGACATGAGTGAAATGTGTCAAAAGTATATTGGGAACATGAAAAGAAAATGTAATAATGTGCATTGGTAACTTATACTATATGTTATTTTAATTGTAGATTGAGATATTTTAAGACTGAATGCATAAAGAGTATTACTTAATGCATTATGAGTTGTTTTTAAGACTTTTAAGACTTTGTGCATAAATGTATAATACTTTGTGCATTAAAAATTGTTTTTATGACTTTTAATATATCTGGTTTATAATGTAGTATAGATATATATAATATTTATATACGGCAAATACAACAAATAAATTGACACACCCTCCTCACCAATTGGTGAGATTTGAACCTCTGACCTCCTAAAACGCCGAGTATTACGATACCGCTAGGCTAAAGACCCTTTAGTCTCATTGCAAATCTTTATAACATTGCGATGATCCATTGAATTCTTTCTGACGTTCTTCTACATAAAATAAATTTTCCATAGCGGCACATACCACAGATAAATTTTCGATCTCTAAAATTTTCCGTGCCACATGTTCGAATTGCATTTTGTACGAAGCTTTAGCGAAATATGTGCCAAAATATTTGTAATCGACTTTTTGATTCGCTTGGATATCCTTTATATATATGATAACAAAATATTTTTTTGTATAAGACATTGGAAATATTAGTTCATAATAACTTTGGGTATGATCAAAATAACCAAGATAGCCTCTTATCCATTCTCATTCAATCACGGCGGGGTCCAAAGAGTCGGCGGAAAAGGGGGGAAAGCTCTCCGTTCTGTGATTCTTGTTGAAGCATATACTCGGGGGGTGGGTGCAGGGCGGACGATTTTAAAGCAGACTAAAAAACTGTGGATCATTCGGACCTTTCAATTCATAGATGTAGATCTCGGACCTATGAATGGGTATCCCGCCTGGGGAGTACGTTCGCAAGAATGAAACTCAAAGGAATTGTACGGCTTCGTCTATTCCTCGATAAAGAGAAATATGACCAAGAGTAAGGAAAAGGATTTTATTTCCACCGAGCTAAAATAATATGTCGATGTCTCTTTTCGAATTGTTTGTTGACACGGACAAAGTCAGGGAAAACCTCTGAAATTTTTTCAATTGTCAGAGCGTAAGCTAGTGATGCTTTCGGCTACTGGACTTTCGCCATCTAGGGTGCAGCATACTCGATTGTTTCCTAATAATTGCTGTACCTCACAAGTCACATTAATTGGTTGACCAACAGTATCTCGACCCTTAACTACCAGAGCGTTATAAATATTAGGCATAATGTACAATTTAATAAAAGCTAATCCGTACACTTACACCAATAATCTACCCATTTTTATAACGTTAACTATGGCAATGTTCGAAAATACGAATCATATACAGAGTATGCCATATTATCCAAAATAAGCATTTAACAGATGCTAAAAGCAGTTACGAGCTTTCATTCATTTTGTTACAGATAATTGGAGCAATCTCCAACTCTAAGGGGCCGTTTACCAAAATACTTACCCGGTAAACGCTTACTGGTAGAAGTTAACACTATAATTAATTTTACCAGATAAGATTGTAGTATATTAAAACGGTACCGTATGCAACAATATACCCAGGTAAGAGTTCTCACCATCACTTACCGGGTAAGACTCTATATCCCTTTCATCCCTCTTATTGGGTAAGATTTTCAGCCCTTGCCATGTGCATCAGGTGAGGAAGGTTACCCGATCCACACTTATCGGGTAAGTATTTAGTAAACGGCCCCTAAGGGCCCGTTTACCAAACGCGTACCCGGGTAAGTGCTTACTGATTTACATTACCTATCGGATGAATATGACAAAGACGAAGAATCTTACCCGGTAAGAGCGAATGCAAGGACCGAGAGTCTTACCCGGGTAAATTGTTGCATACAATATCGTTTTGTTGGACTAAAATCTTACCCGGTAAGTAAGTGATAGTGTTGAATTTTACCCGTAAGTGCTTACTGAGTTACCGGGTAAGTGTTTGGGTAAACGGCCCCTAAGACTATTTTATAAAGGGCAAATTGTATGAAAAAGTAAAGTACTTTAACTTGATCCTTATTTTAGATCACATACTCTCAAAACTTTTATTGGTACCTAAAATGTAAAGTTTTAAACATTTAAGTACTCGATTGAAACATTAATTCTTTCTTCTAATTACCCACAATACATAAAAACTAATTTTAGATTAAGATATCCATGTCAACAAAAAATACTGAGTTGGATACCACATGACTCGTTACATCAGCATGGTAACCGGTTAATACTTCAACCGGTTACCCAGGTACTTAAATGTTTAAAACTTTACATCTTATGTACTAAAATAAAAGTTTTGAAAGTACGTTATCTAAAACATGATTTAAGTTAAAGTACATTATTTTTTCATACAATTTACTTTTTTACAAAATATATGAATATCATAAATAATAGCTTATTTCTTTTAATCATCAAAACTCAATAACTCTTGAAATGACTCCTAAAGTGGTTAGGTGCTTGAATTCCATATAAGAAAGGTCTAGGGGTCTATCCTTTTCACCTTCATTTATTTTGAGTGGCTAATGACACTCCTATCTTTTACTTATGACACCCCTAAAGTTAGATAATCATTTTATTTTTTGTTATTTTTTTGTTATTTTTTTGTTGT